CTCTTCTCCTTTATCTTATAAAGATCCCAGATTGGATTCTCATATTGGATTAAGGGCCAACCCTACTTCATATGGCCTCAACTTAATTTCTTAATTAACATCTTCATTAAATCTGCAAAGACCGTATTTCCAAATAAATTCATATTCAAAGATACCACGGGTTAGGACTTCAACATGCCTTTTGGAGGGACACAATTCAACCCACATCACCTATAATAATCAGGTGTCAGAAGCAACACCAGAATCCTCAAGCTGGATATACAAACCCAATCACGATGGTGATCCTAACTTCTCCAAAGGGAAGGGGGACCCGAGGCCCAGATGGGATGAGAAGCTGTGGTGGGTCTAGCTTTTGACATTGTACATGGGGCTGGACAGTTAAAGACTTTGATGTGACATCAGAACAGTTCAGAAACCTGGCTCAGCAAGTCTTTATTCAGTCAACAACTCTTTAACAGCTTCTTGTGTGCCAGGAGCCAGGCAAGGAGCAAGGCAGGGAGGATCCATTCAATCACGGGCTTATGGTTTAGTAGAGTGACTGACAGATTGACAGCCAACGGATCACACTTAGGGGACAATTAAAAACTAGTGTTATAATCATATACATTGTATATTGACAAAATAAAAATTAAAAAATAAATAAAAAATAAAAAAAAATAAATAAAAAATAAAAAATAAAACTAGTGTCCGGGCCGGCCTGTGGCTCACTCGGGAGAGTGTGGTGCTGATAACACCAAGGCTACGGGTTCGGATCCCATATAGGGATGGCCGGTTAGCTCAATGGGTAAACACGGTGCTGACAACACCAAGTCAAGGGTTAAGATCCCCTTACCGATCATCTTTAAAAAAAAAAACAACTAGTGTCTGTGCTCTGAGAGAAGAAATTTGATGTCACTGAGGAGATCCTCCTGTGGCTGGACTTTCCTTCCTTTCTTTTTTCACCCTTGACCTTGGTGTTATAAACACCATGTTCTAACCCACTGAGCTCACCAGCCAGCAGCCCTCTTCCTCTCTCTCCCTCTCTCTCTCTTCAATTACCACTCTCTCGGAGACTTGTAGGTGTTTCATCTCAGTGAAATAGAGGAAACTAGAGCATCCCTGGTGGCCAGTGTGAGCCAAGCACGAACAAAACTGCAGAACTTAAGGGGTTGGGAGATGGAAGGCAAAGGTTGCGGGGGAAGGGGGCGGTGTGAGTGTGTGTTTGGCTCATGTCTTCCTGCAGTGAATACACCCTGCAAGATTCATGGCCAAGGGACAACAGCTCCTGAAGATTTTAACCAGTTTGAAGCTGTGGACCAGCATCTACTCTCCTCCATTGTTTGGTCCTTACACAGTGTGTCCCTTGTCAAGCCAGAAATGCAGGCCAAGTCCTGGCCAGGCTAGGGTTAATGCTTGAGGAGAAGCCCTCCCCTTTTCTGGCTCTAATGTCAATGAAATCTTACCTAGCCTAGGTAGCTCTCAAATCTGTTCCCATCTCCATTTCCATTGCCACCATCTCCTCTCTTACCTCCCTGTAGCCTCCAGAGTCCAGTCAGGCCCCTCCGAACCCACCTCCCACCTACACAGGTGTCAGAGGTATCCTTCTCAAACACCAATCGGTCCAGGGCCTGGGGCATTCCCTGGCTTCCACTGGCCCACTCCCATACCTGTGGCCAGACTCCCACCTGCTACTCCAGATCCACCTGCCTCTCTACACTCTGCCATCTATACTCTATCTTTCAGACACATGTGGTGGCCTCAACACCATAAGCAGCATCACCTCTCTGTGCTCTGCCTGCAATTCTTTGTCCAGTGTGGTCCAGCTGGCTAACCCTTTCTGATCCTTGGAGAACCAGATCCACCAGCACCTTCCCAGAGCTCCCACCTTCTCTTACTACCATCAGATTGTGTCCTAACTTCTTTGTTTTCTCTCCCTCCACTAGACTGGGCCCTCTTTGAGGTAGGAGCAATGTCTGATTATTCTGTGATTCTATCCCCCAGTCCCACTGCATGCCTAGACTGGGACGTGACACAACAATGAATGCTTGTTAAATGGATAAAGGCCCAACTGGAAGTCCACCACCCATCTGACCACGAGTTCTGTCTGGTCTTGCATTATAAACTTTTATGTTTCCAAATGGATTTTGATTTTGTGACCTGACAGTTTTCTGGGTATAAGGCTTCACTGCCACTTCTGGCCTGCAAGTGTCCCAAGGCAGGGGGACAAACACCAGGCTGGGACAAGGAAGCTCCTGGATAGAGGCAACTGTTGGAAAGATGGGGTGTCACAAGGGGGTGCTCTCCCATTCTACCACTAATTGGCTCCTGAAATAGGCCCTGTTTCTGAGGTGCTCCCCTAAGCATCCCCTCCTCTTATTCCAGGACTGCTCAGGTTCCCACCTCAGCCTTGGTGGTGCGGAGGGGGCACAGGACACCTGTCACCTTCTTTTGGAGCCTGCTCCTAGGTTAGCAGGGCCAGAGGATCAGTAAGGCAGATGTGGGGCGTTCATGGGTGATGGGATCCACTGGCAAGTCACACACCTATCAAAAGCCTGGGAACCAAACCTGCTGGGGTTGGGCGCAGGTGCAGACAAGAAAGCCATTTTCAACAAACAAACAAAAATAAGAAAGCCAGTTTCATGACCTGTTTTCTGGCATGGGGGCAGGTTAATGCAAGAAAGCCATTTTCAACAAACAAAAATAAGAAAGCCAGTTTCATGACCTGTTTTCTGGCATGGGGGCAGGTTAATGCTCTGACGCTGGGGAAACAACATGTTTCCCTCTTCCGCACTCCCCAGGATGAGTTTCTAGGCTGGATGGAAACTTACCTGACCCATCAAAAGGAAAAGCTGCTGCAGCCTTCCCCGGCCCTAACAAGACTAGCAGCTCTGCTTACATAGTCCTGGTAACCTGGCAATCACTACTTCCGACCACGAGTGGTCTTGGAAAGGTGGCCCCTTTCCAGGACCAAGACCAGTCTCTCTTAAGCTTCTACCATGCAGGACCTCTTCCAAGTTTAATCATTCACTTTAGATGCTGAAGCCCGGGAGCAGCCCAGGGCACTTTAGTTGTCAGGTTAATTTACATTCTTTCCATGCTTCATGGGCCTCCCTCCCCCACCTCCAGAGGGTCAGACAAGCACACCCAAACCCCTTGGCCCTCCCCAAGGACTTACCAAGCACAGGAAATTGGGGAGGGCAACCAGTGACAGAGTCTGGATGACAGTGCTCACTGATCCAAGGCTCAAGCAGAGATAATGAGGGAGAGGGGGCCCTCCCCTAAGAGCCCTTGTCAGTTGCAGAACTCGCCTCCTTTTACCAGCAGAAGGATTGATTTCAGGGTTCTGCCAGCAAAGTGACTTACAAATACATTCTTCCCCATCTCCTCCTTTCCAGGGGTGCTCTTACATTGCACAGGACAGGGTCTGTTCCTGAGATCCTGGGGCTGTATGCCCCCCCTTACTCAACTTTTACCAGCAGAAGGATTGATTTCAGGGTTCTGCCAGCAAAGTGACTTACAAATACATTCTTCCCCATCTCCTCCTTTCCAGGGGTGCTATTACATTGCACAGGACAGGGTCTGTTCCTGAGATCCTGGGGCTGTATGCCCCCCCTTACTCACCAGAGCTCTTCCAGCACACAGCACCACCTCCACTATCCCCCAGCTGACTTGGAGTTGGGCACAGAAGCTTACAATGGCGTTATCTCTCAACAGACAGCTGTGAAGGGCTGGAAGCAGCAGCTTATCAGGGAGCCTGCACTGATTCACAGCCCAAGCTCCAGCTTCTCTGCTGAATAGTAATTTCCAGCAGTGGATTTGTGTTCAGTCTCTCTCCTCCCCATCTCCCAAGGGTGTGCTGTCCTTTCTCAGAGAGAAGGCAGTGAAGGGGAGATGCTACCCATGGGGATGGGAGCTATGTGCCAGCCTTCTGGGCAAGGCTCAGTCTATTGCCTGGAGGCTGCAGGTTTAGGGACCCCAGCAGGGTCTGCTATTCTTGGCAGTGACCCCCAGGAGAGTCCATTGATGCTCTCCTTCCTTACCTACCCAAAAAAGCAAAGTGCTGCTACCTTTCCCATAGTGGTGATGCACAGGGGGACACAGGCCTCCTTCTGGCCATAATCCCGAGGCCAGGGCCAGCCCAGGAGGGTGGGGGAGAAAAGGGAGAAGCCAGGGACTGGGCAGTGTGCCCCTTACATCATTTCGAAGCTGTCCAGTCTCTGTGCCTAACCCTGACGACTCCAAAGGCTCAAAGGGACTGAGACATAAGGGGGGCAAGCCAGAGCTGTCTCTGCACAGGCAGGTGATTAGGAAAAAACTTGGGGACAGAGCCATTTTGGTGTTTATTTTATTAGAAGCAAGGCTTCAGCTGTGGGGCTCAGAGAGGAGGCTTGAGGAGTTCTGTCCTGGGTCTCTCCTTTGGGCCAGCATGGGGAAGGGAGAATGTTAAATGAGCTAGAGCCCATGGAGATGACCCTACCATCACAATCTCAGGATGCTCCTCAGAAGCAGGGGAAGGAAAACTAGAAATTGTCCCAGGGTCGGGGGCAGAATGGGGCCCCCCATCTCAGACTCCCCTACCCTCAAGCAGTTTCTCACCCCCTCGCCTCCTCTGTCAATGGTGGGGGTGATTCCAAGAGCTTTCCTCGGCTTCCAGATTCCGTGTCCCCTTCAGGAATATTGGGTGTCTGTAACAACTGGGGGCCCAAAGCAAGGCCCAAGAGTCCCACTGCCCACCATTCCCTCCCAGAAGAAGATCCCATCATAGTCCAGAAAAGGTGAAGGTGGGGTTCTGCATCCTCAGGCGATAGAGGCCTAGGAGCAACCTTCCTACAAATCTTCCCTGGGGACGTCGGGGTTCTTTCCAGCCACTCCTGCGCCCCTCCTTTGTTGCCTGGGGGTCCATGCTACGTCCAGGCTGTGGACTCCAGAAGACCGAGGCATGAAAGGCTGAAGGTACATCTGAAGGTGGAGGCGCTGGGGATAAAATCCAGCAGGTATAGGGGATCCGGCGGCCGGAGTTCTCAGGCCGTTCGGTCCTCGTCCGCGACTCCTGGCTCAGGTAGCGAACGCTTTGCAGAGCCTTCTCCAGCTGCCGGTTCCCCTAGGCTCCTCTTGGACGTCGGCGCGGCTGGCGAGGACGAGGGACCAGGATGGGGGTTTGGGGGCTGGTAGCCGGGTTGTCGCGGATCCAGTTCGTCCTTGGAAAGTAGGATGGCGAGGCCCGGCACGTTCTTAAGTACACTTAGACTGGCGGCCGACTCGCCAGGGGTCTGACCCGGCGTGGGCCCAGGCGGGAGACTCTGCCACACCTCGCGCACGCTCCTGTAGCGCAGCCGTGTGACCTGGTGCAAGCCCGCCAGGCGGCGCTTGAGGATCTCGGCGCACGTGACGGTCTTGGTGGTAGCCCGGCCGCAGCCGCTAAAGACGATGGCGCGCGTGGCTGGCTGCGCCATGCTGGCGGTGGCGAAGGCCATCAGGTTCCGGATCTTGCTCCCCTCCTTGACCCGCATGTTCACGGCATCCGGCGCCAGGTCTGCGAAGGGACCAGAGCCCGGGCCGTCTCCCTCGGCTCCGCCCCCTGCCGGCGCCTCTTCGGAGCGCACCTTACGGAAGTTCTCCATGCGCCGTCGTTGCTGGGACCTCTGGCTTTGCCATGGGGCTGCCTCAGCCCTGGGGCTGCATGGTCGCCGGTGGCACCCGGAAAGGGCCGGCAGGGGTAAGGGTGCCGGTGCAGCGTGGACGGTGGCGGGAGGGCTGGGGCGGCGCAACCCTCGATCTCCACTTCTCAAGAGCGGACGCTGCTCTACTCCGGGCTCTGCGCGCCCTGTGCTCCGCGCCTTTAGCAGAGGCCCAGCCTGGGAGCCTGGAGGCCCCGCCCCTACATCCAGGCCCCGCCCCTAACTCGGCCTGGCCCGCCCCCGTCCCAGCCTCACCCGCCTTTGAAACCAAATCCCGTCCTTAGTTACTCCGGCGTGGGAGCGGCGCGCTCGGTTGGGCGCGTTGGCAGCGCCAGGGGGTGACTTGGAAGGTGAAGTTCCCATATAATCGCCATCAGCCCTCTCCGAGCCACTCTCATAAACGGGCAACCTAAATGAAAACTGCGCTTGCGGCGCAAACGCCGCTTCATGCCAGGTCCCCGAGCCCGTCCCCGTTCCAACTAAAGGCCGCCCCTAGGTCCCTCCCAGCGAGATGCTGGACCTGGTTACCCCCACTCCCCCGGGGACCAGCCCCCTCCCTTCCGCTCCCGAGTATTCTCGCCTCAAGGACAGCCAGTGCACGGTCAGCAGAGTGCGGGAGGCGCTGGCTCCGGCTTAACTCTGCGCCTCCCCTTGGGCTACTACGTCGCGGCGTGGTCCCGCAGAGCGGCCGAAGACCGAGGCTTCAGCCTCGCCACACCCGTCCGGAGCGCGGAGCTCCCGGGCCCCTGGACATGGGGAGTGAGGCTCTGGGCCAGGCTGTTTCCAGAGGCGAATGGGGAAGCGGACAAGGAGACCCTTTCCCAAGAGGCGTTTAGCTTCCTCCACCCATGCCAGAAAGCCCACTATCAGTTGCATGCTTTGGTAAGCCAGGCATTGTTCCCTGCTAATGCGGAATTCGTTGTTAATCAACCTTGGCTCCTGGAGACCCAATGGGGTCCTTTTTCAAAAAGGAGACTGGGTGAAGGCAGGTTTTAAGAGAAAGAAGGGAGGAAGGTGGGGGATTGAAACTTTGGGGGCATATTGAAGCTACCGGATGCCTCTTTTCGGAAACTCCACCGAAAGGGTGGCCCGGGGTCTCCTGCCAGGTGAGATAAGCAGTAGAGAAAGAGACGAGGTGGGGGTTGAAGGACTGCTGATGCGACAGAGGTTTGAGGAGTCCGGCCCTCTCCAAAACTGCCCTAATGCCTCGCCCTTCATCCTAACACCCCGTGCATACCCAGAACCGAGGGAGCAGGGCAGATCTGATCCCGGTGGGCATAACTACGATAGGGCGAGGCGGGGCGGGGCACTCGGAAAGTGCTAGAGCGTGACGGTGCCTGCGCTTGCCGGGCCTCAGTCTTGGGATGGCGCTGCCGGGCCTTCTCCCTCCTCGTGGCTGTCCTCGCCGCAGCTGTAACAGCCCTGCTGTTCAGAACCCGGGGTTTACCCTCTTACCGCCACTTGGGGACGGCTGTAACACCTGGACCTTTGCATCCCAAACTATGAATGGCTGACTCCCCGTAACGTACCTCCTGCTCGCACGCTGGGATCGGGGGCCCTCGGGGTATGCTCCGTATGCGGACTTCGGCCCGCCCCAACAAGGAACTGCAGTAGGCGCAGGAGGCACAGTGGCCTTGGGAAGACACAGACTGTCCGCAGCGCATGGCGAGGCGCGGGAAACCGCGGGCT